GGAGAAGACGGCCCGCGCGGGGGAATGATCCGATCAAATGGCGTGGATTCTTATGTCGGCCGCCGGGCTGGGCGGGATCATGGTTGGCGAGGGTGGGCAGCCTCAAGGTCGAGCCTCAAGGTCGCAGCCCCGGCCAGAAACGGCAATGAGATCGTACTAAAGTAGCAATACGTTGGCACCTTAGCACGTTGGCGCTCCCATGGCGCCCGGCTTTGAGATTGCTTGGCATTTGCCAATTTTTTTTTTTATTTTTTTTTGAAAAAAAAAACCCCCCCCCAATCGACGCGGACAGAAAAATGACCGCAATTGTGACAAATGTCGATCCCTTGGGGAAAAAAGAAACACGGCCGGGGGGGGGGGGGGGGGCACCCGTGGCGTCCCCTCCCCGACGAGGATGGGAATCGCCTGCATGGAAAGCTCGTCACATGTTTTGAAGCCGACGCGGTGACAGCCACGCCCCCGGGCGCTTAACAAAAGGACCATGCCTGCCTACTGCGTCGGAAGGTCGGCGACGCGACAAACGCTCCGAGGCGCGAATCTGGTCAGGGGGGGGGGGGGTAGGGGGAGGTGCGTGATGGGGAAATTTGCCCGACGTGCTGCTGCGCTTGTCGCTTTCGGCAAGATAGGTCAGGAAAACCGGTCGTCGTGGCTGCCGCATGTCCGGCCCTTTCCCAGCCTCCCTCCCCTCGGGCTTTCCTCTTTGGAGCGGAAAGCCGAAGAGCAGCACAAGCCGGCGGCCGTAACGGACGGCGGATGGTGGAAAGGTGGGAACGGGCATTCATCGAAATAGTGCGCCTCCGGGCGCGTAAGCCGCGCTAGCGCGGGGCCGCGATCTCAGGGGTTCAGTGGCAGATGCGGGGCGGGTGGAGGTGCGCTCGGCACACGTACGCTAATCAAATCAGCTGTCACAAGCAAATGGATTGGCCTGGTGCTCTCCCTTTCTCGTATCCCTCTTCTTGCCGTGGTCTCGTGGGATACCAATTGGTACGAGGACCGTTTTGTTGTTTACAAGCGAGCTGGCAGCTTCCATGGTATCTTATCCCCCCAGCGTGCGTAACAGCACAGTGAGGCCCGCCCCTGTGGGGCCCCTGCTGGCGTTTTGCGGGCACGGGTTCAACGGCACGACGGTTTGGCAGCAGCTCCAGCGCCCGTCTGACAGGAGCGGCCCGCAGCGAGCCTTCATGTTTCAATTCTGGTGCGGCAGCGGGTGCGCTAAGGCGGGCTGACAGCGTTGACAGCAAGTTGGCACTTCTGTTGATTGATTGCCGAAATGCGTCAAACCAAGGCAGCCAGAACACACACACCCCGCGCAAGAAATACAACAAGCACAAAAAAGGAAGGTCGCAAAAAAAAAAAAAAATGACACCGTCTTTCGCCACGGACTTGCAGCTCGGACAAAGCAACCCCATTCCCGTCCATCCCGCCCATCCCCGAAACCGGTGACCAAAGGCCCAGATAGGCCGGGCCCGGGAGGTCGGCGCGGCGTGCCAGCCGTGGCACTGCCGACGGTTGACGATGGTTGCACCGGACAGCACATGTTGCATTTTGGAATCTCGGCGCGTGGCCCTTGTCAGGCAGACCTACTACCAGCGCTGGCAGCGCCCTCCAGCGGCTTGTCCAAGCCTTTTGGCGCAACCAAAATCCTCACCGGTCGTATGCGGCCCGGTAGGATTCGTAGCCACATGGACCAGACAAAAAGCGTTGGGACAGATGGATGTATGCGGCCGCGTCCTTTGTCACCGCCGTCCCACGTCCGATTCTCACACCGACCTGCCCGATGCAATATGGTACAACGGGGGTGGAGGGCTTCTTTTTCTTGTCATGCCTCCCTCGAGCTTCGCCGTCGCGCCGCACAATGACGACCACGATAGCAACCCACCCCGCCTTCCCCGCGTCCTCACCGGCTTCGATGCGCGTCGCGCGCACACACTATCACCCAAAGCGGACGCTCGCTCCGGAAAAAAAGTCGAATGAGGGCCACGCACCAAAACGAGAGAGAGAGAGACCGCCCTCCTGTTTCGGCAGTTCTGTTCGAGAGAAGCCGAGATCGGCTGGTGGGGACGAGCGAGGCTTTGATTGTGTCGTCGTGACTTTGCCTGGCCCCCGGAACCCTCGGCTGACGCTGTTTTGTTTCGCACCGCCGCCAGGCACTGTCCCAGCGCCTCCAGGGTCAAAAGTCATTTTCTGGACAGGGCAAGTGACCCAAAGAACCATAGCAAAGCACATCACCCCATACGGACAATCTGTTACAAACCCCGTCGCCAGGGGAGATGACGACGATGCCCGGGGTGCTTACATAGGGACGATGGACGTATAGCACAGTGTCTGTTATGCATCAACCAAACGATTACCGGCCAGGCAATCACATAAATCTTCCTCCGTCTTGCTCGCCTCATTGTCTGCCGCCCCACCTATACATGCCCCGCCGAAAAAAAGGACGAAAATGCCCCATCCTGTTTCGTTCTGGAAATTGAAAAGCTGTGGGTCTTTGACGCAGCCTTTGCTAGGCGAGACCAGCCTGTCGCGTGGCTCATAACCGAACAGTCCACATCCGTATCCTGTACCGGGCGTGGGCGTGTCTGTATAGCACTGGGCAGGAGGATGTGGCTCTGTCTCCACATCGGGGAGAGAGCGCTTTGTCCGGGGTGTGTGCGTGTGGTGGCTGGTTTGCTTGCACGTGTCCAGATGTCGGCATCTGACTGAGTTTCGGCTGGGTCGAGAGGCCATCGCGGTCCGGATGGCTTGCTTTGGCTAGCTGACCTTTGGCGGTGAAGGCGAGCCTTGGGTGGAGATGCAGCACTGCCCAGCCGTGTTGGTGCGAGACGGAGGGACGCTGGCTGAACCCGACCCTCGGCACGTCCCGTGGAAGTAGCGTGCATGTCAATGAGACCGAGGCCCCTAGGCACTCGCCGAGATGATCAGCAGCGACGCTGCCGTCCAAAGACACCGCCATCGTCTCTATCCAAGCCCCCAGCCATGTCCGTCCAGGCGCCGTGGCGTGTCTTCTACCTAGACCACAAAAAAACACACACGGCAACCATCCTTGAGCATCAACCCGCCTGTCGCACAGCGGCCTCGAATCACCTGACCTGACTCGCCCCCGGTCTGCCGTCTCTCCACGCCCCCTACCCCCTTCACCGACGTTATAAGAAAGTAGGATATTAAACCTTACGACCCGCAGATCCTTCCTAATTAAGCCACGTCCCAGCTACATTTCTTCCCATAAAAAAGCCCGCCAAATCGATGTATCGCTACCCTGCTAACCAGACCCACAGTGTAACGTTCAATATCTTACTTTCCCTGTGCATGTTATCCGAGCGACCGACGGGCGGCGCCAATGCGCAGCAGCAGGCAGAGAGCCAACGGCCTGGGTCCCTTCGGATGCTTTCAAGGGGAGAGGGCCCGCCACCGGCTCCTCCTGCCTCTCTTTCTCTTTTTCTCGCTGATGTAAACTTTAAAACGGCCCCGCTCGCGCTGGAAATCTCCTGCGCGGTGGCGTGCGGCACCCGAGTCAGCACGCCGGCTGCCGGGGGGCCGTGACAACCCCTGGGAGCCTGACAAGTGCCCAAGGGGGCGGCCTCTCTGACTCTCTCGACTGGGGAATGCGAGGAACGGGCGGAGGTCGAGCGAGCATGAGGAAACGGAGGAGATTCAACGGGCTCCGTTATTGGGTTCTGGTGAGGGGAAAAAAGGAAGCAGAACAACGGTCAGTGTGGCCCAGCGCGGCGCTCGAGGAAAATTCAAAAGTGTGCATTTTGCCCTTGGAAGTGATTCCCGTGGTGAAAAGGAACACGCCCAAGGTTCCCCCTGGCAACCGCCGTATGGAAAATACCAACCATTTCGTTTAAAAATGGCGTCAAGCTTACTGACCACCACATCTCGGCCAACCACAGTTGGGCAAAAGCTGGCATAAATCCAAACACAAAAAAGGCAAACGTGGGACGGTACTGTAGCATCCAAAAGGCACGAAATATGCCGCCCCCCCAGTCCTCTTCGCCGTCGTCGTCGTCAGCCCCGGTAATGTCGGCGCCGGCTAGTAGAGTACATACATGGACGAGCCGGGATACGTAACGCATCCCCCTCTCCCTCCCCACCGTTCGGTACCTGGGAAATGGATCAGGCAAATGATCGTCACACGCGCGGCGGAGCACCTCAGCCCATCCGGGCCCAGGCTGGTTCTTTTTTTTTCTTTTTTTTTCTTTTTTTTTTCTTTTTTTTTTTCCTCTTCTCTTTGCTGCACGGCACGCAGGTGACCTGGTCGCTGTCCCGCCCGATTCAAACTTTGGCCCTCCCGTGGTTGACAGTGGAGCAAGGCATCCAGGGTGTTTCTTTATTACGCATTGCGAGCCAGTCGGAATCTTTCTTTCTTTCTTTTTGTGCTCTCCCCACCCTCCGATACGACAAGCCCATCAACCACCCACCCACCCGGTCTCGCAAGCAGCGTGAACCATAGGGCGCCTGGTCCTGGACATTTCCAATTTCTCCCCCCCTTCCTCTCCGCACCGGTCTGCGGGGGGACTCAGTCCGCTCCCAGCCTGGTCCTCGCCCGCGGGGCCAGGCAGGCTCCACGTCCTCCGGATAAGGGAAGGAAGGGCTGGGAGCTTTTATGCTGCCCGTGATTGGAACGTCGTGGCACTCCTCGACCAGACACGTACCCCTGGTTAGATAAGGATCACCGAAAGCGCATCAAGGTAAGCACTATAGCAGCACGGCTTTCCCCAGGGCAACACATCCATTAGGCGGCGCTTCATGCCGGGTCAGCATCGGCTTTCTTCCCGAGGAGATTCAGGAGAGATACGTTGCAAACTACCCCTGCTGTTTTTGATCTCGTGAAAAAAAAAGTGGGAATCTTGGGCCAAATCCTGGCTGCAAAACAAATGGCCAGATCTGGGCTCGGCCGAGCTGGCGCAAGTGCTAGAGTTGCTAAAGTCTATTGATTGGTAATGCTGCGAAACACATTTTTGGCTCCCATTTCCTTCGTTAGCTGGCTGGCTCGCAACCGGCTAATATCAAAAGGGGCAATGAGTTTTTATCGCAGCTAATGTAAAGAGCTTCCTTATTTCCAGCGATTTAACCGAAACTAGATTGGGAAATTATTTATCCAACCGCAACCCGACAGTCCCCAGCCAGAAAGAGAAGCCGTCACGCCACTACAAAAAAAAGATAGCAGTTTTACAAAATTTGAAGATTAAAATGGTTAATGCTATGGGCTTTCCTCTTTTTCTTTCTTTCTTTTTTTCCTACTTTTTTTTCTTTCTCTTATTCCTGCTCATGCAGTCCTAATCGCCTTTCCGTTGTCAAGGTAGGTGGGACTGCCATTTTCTTTGTGACAAGCGTGGCTGGTGAACAACTTCTCATCCATAGTTTATGCATTTACGTTACGCACGGCTTGGCTTTATCTAGCGATTGGTAAGCCTTTCGTGAACCAGCGGAAGCTGGATATTGGTCCCTGGGCTAAGATTGTTTGACTCTACCTCTTTGCACTCGGAGCCACATCGATGCCCTGATAGACATGTGCATCAAAGTCTCCCTCTCTCGAAAGCAGCGTCAAACCAGAGAGAAAAAAAGTCACATTTGCGCATGGTTGGCTGGCTTCAACCCAAAGCCAGGCAGGTTCCCATTCGCGACATCAGGCATCCTCGTCCATGGCATCATCATCGCCGCTAGCGTTGAACTCGCTGCTTCCTTCATCGCTGTCGTTATCGTCCTCATCGTCTTCCATAGTGCCAGCGTGGGTAGCCCTGGGCTTCAGAGGGTCCCAATCGAGCTGTGCATGGTTGGCCAGCTGCTGGAGGAAGTCGGCAGCACCCTTCCCACGATAATGAGTCTCTGGGCCATCGCCGCCGGCACCGAGGCCGAGCTGGGGCCCCCTACGGCAATCCAGGGTGGGGTAGTCGGGAAACACCCTGAGTCTGCCGAGAGTGACCTCCTTGAGGTGCGGGAGGCCAGCGAGCTGCTTGAAGAGTTGGGTCCACTGGTCTAGCCGGTCCTCGTACTGGGCTGCGGAGATGGTGATTTTGGTGTTCCAGAGACTCAAGGCCTCGAGCGTGTCCTTGAACTTATTGATGACGGCCCAGTACAAGGCCCGGCTCGCCCAAACATCGCCGAGGTCTAGCCTCTTGAGCGCGGCGACGAAGTGCCCGGGCACAGGTACGGGCTTCGAGAGTGGGAGGGCGATCCAGCTGAGGAGAAGCCTGGGCTTTTCGGGATTCTCCCACCCGTGCTTCATGTTCAAACGCAGCCACTCAAGGCTGGATGCCTGGGAAAGGAAGCTCTGGAGGTGACTTTTAAGCAGCCACGAGTCCAGATGGTTATCCTGGCTGTCGGCTCCATCGTGGAAGCTCATGGTGTGGGGGGTGATTAGTCGGACGTCAAGGTGCAGCTTGCGCAGACTCTTGACGACAGGAAGAGTCTGGTGACGGGTAAAGGAGGAGAGAGCGAAGGCGTTATCGGTCAGGCCCTCACCGGTCGTCCTGAGGATCACCTCGAGGTCGACGCCTGTACGTTGGGCACTGGCCAAGGCTCGGATGACGATGGGAAAGACGGCGGTGGCCGTCGGGCCGGCGTGGGCTCTCATGTCCATTGGCAAGCCGGTGGCATTTTGGGCCGCGACGGAGCCGTAGCTGCGCCAGGCGCCGCGATCCCGGTTGCGCGTGTTGGAGCAAAAGTCGCGTATACCAATGGTTTGCAGGCCCGGCAGTCTCTGCAATGCGTGAGCGAGCATTTCACGGGCTTCGCCGCTCTGCAGCAGGCATATCTGGGCGCTGTGGCGGGTTGTGAGCTCGGCGACCTGGTCTTGGGTGCCCTCTACGTTGAAGTTCCAGCTGAGCGGGTTATTCTCTGCAAAGCCGTCGAGCCCCAGCACGAGGTGCGACAACTGAGGGCCGAGCTGGGGGTGTTCTGCGATGTCGATGAGGGTTTGCAGGCTGGGCTCGGTGAGCATGAACTGCTTCTTGAAGAAGAACTCGCGAGCAAAGGGCAGGAAGGTGGCAGCCTCGGTGCGCTTGCTGGCCAGGCGCAGGTTGCCCAGATCCTGGGTGGTCAGGGAGCGCGAGATCTTGATGATGATCTCGGCGGGCAAGTCGCTGATTGACGGCATGATGGGCGATTGAGGCTGGTGCCGGCTGCTTGGTTGAGTGTGCGTCTGTGATGAGCTGCTCGGTTTGCCCTGGATGCTGGAGATTAATGATCAATGGTTAATGATCAATGCAATGGCGGTCGCTGGTCAAGGCAGCGAGTGGCGCATCCAAAGTTGGTCGCAAGACGTCAGGCTGATGCGCTTATGCCCCGCGCGGGCCACGGCTGCTGCCTGGAATGTTCGCGTTCTCGTTGGATGGCGCGACGGCGATGCGCGCGCTCACGTGATGGAACACCGCAATTCAACGCAGCCCTGTGGGACTGCCATATTTTTTTGTGGTGGGCGTGCCCCGTTGTGCAGCTGGAGCCTGCAGGAGCGCATTCCCAGCCTAGTTGGACCCTTGAAACGCCATCTCGAACCAACATCCTGCTACAATGAAAAGTGAGGCGAAGTGGCATCACCCTGTGCAGGATACACGAGAGCGCATTACCAACGCCAGAGTGAAGTCGTAAGGCTGAGCCTATGGAATGTTCTCGCCGGCAACAATCGAGTCTGGCAAGAATCGAATTCTGTTTGTCTGTCTGCATGATGTTGAATTTGACAGGGTGGGCTTGGTGTCGCTGAGGCTCAAGCAGCCGCTACAGCATGGTGGGCACGGGCTCCACCGCCCCAATGTGCCATTTTTAGGGGCCTGAGCCACATCGCCTGCATGGATCCCGTCCCTTCAGCTTTCATTTGCAAGTTGGGACGAAAGGATCAGTACCCTCTGCCTTCCTTCGTCGCCGTTAGTCAGGCTGATTGTCGTTGGAGAGCCTTTCATCTCGCACGACAGGCAGCAATTGCGACGCTGCGGAATCGCAAAACAACATCCTCGTCCGCTGTCCATCACGCAGCAGAAACATGGGGCCACCACGCGGCTCGCTGGCCAGGCGAGTTCCAGATGCCGGCGGCGACTTGGCAGGACCCGGCAGCGCTGCAACCCCCTGAGTCGCGCAGGGCTGAAGGCAGCGGTGGAAGGGAGGCTTTGCGGCGCCCACAGCCCCCAGTCGAGGATTCCTGCCGCAGCCGCGATCGACGGGCACTGGTACTGCGATTGATGATGAGAAAGAAATGTAGGCTAGGCCTTATTTGGTAGGGGCTGAACATGGGGTGCTCTTGGCGCTACCTCGAAAATGCGATTTTTTTCGCCTCCTATCTCCGTACATGTCGCGTCCAGCTCTGCCCCTGCGTTTGCCCTCATCTGCTCCCCGCTTTCGTGGTAACCTGTCTGGCTCCTGGGAATAATACAAATCTGCTGCTTCCTGCCGACGAGGGCAAAGATGGCGACTCCTTTTGGCTTGCGTGTGCGACTGGGCGGTGTTGATCAGCGGTCCCTGCCTCACCCCGACCACCTTCTCCATCTTTGTTTTGTAGATCCCGTCTTTTTGCTTTCTTCAAGATGCTGTTCTGGCTCCCCCTTATTTCGTGTGCTGCCGCGCTGGTCGCCGGCACAGCCATCCCCGCCCATGATGTCCACGTCCAGCGCCAGGCCCAAGACTCGGACGAGATCATCTCGGTCAGGGAGCTGGTCCGGAGGAACCACCTGGTGCCTATCGAGCAGCGATCCGACCTTTTGGAGAAGAGGGCGTTCGAAAATAAAACGTTCGACCTGAGCTGGCAGCGCGAGAAGCGCACGCTCTTCTCGGCGTAAGTGGCTCTTAGACAAGCGAGTAATTCCCAAAAATAGACTCATAAGCTTACCGGCCGGCCCCCCTCTAGAGCATGGGAGGGCACATCGCCCAAGGTCCCGATCGGGCTGCTGCCCGTGGCCGGCGCCGTCGGCGGCAACTTCAACCTCACGATGCAGTGCGTCGACTGCAGGACGTACGGCAACATCGTCGCGTCCCTGGACGACTCGGACGGTCTCAAGGCGCTCCTGACCTTCAACCAGGTCGGGGCGTACATCGACCTGGCCATGTTCGCGTCGTCGGAGGGCACATTTACCATCGGGCTGGGCGCATCGCTGGGCAGCTCCAACGTCACGGGCAAGGTCTTTGCCGCCGGTTTCGGCTTCAGCATGGACCTGATCCTGCAGGTGACGGGCGCGGTCCAGGCCAACGGCGGCTTCCAGATCTCGATTCCGGACGGCGAGACGGTCGGGCTGGACATTGGGCTGAAGCTCAACAAGACTGAGAACGGTCTGCTGCAGCCGACATCCAGTATCAACAAAGTGTGGGTGCAGGACATTACTGTCGTCTGACGAACAAGACGCAAAACTGATGCTAACTCGACTGGTCACTACCTCGCAGACCCAAGGTCAACTTCTCCCTGCTGCCCGTTTCCATCTCGGACGGGTCCGTCAACATCACGGCGGCGCTGCGGCTCAAGGCCGACGCGGGCATCACGGGGACGCTGGGGTTCAAGGGCTCGGACATCGGGTCCGTCTCGGTCGGGGCCAAGGTCGGGGCGCACCTGACGCTGATCGAGGTCAAGATGGGCAGCGTCAACGCCAGGGCGGCGGCGGGCACGTGCCGCAACGCGCTCTTCATCGACGCCGACTCCAACGGCGGGGCCTTTGCGCAGCTCGACGGCTCCGTCGGCCGCGGCGGCCAGAGCCGGTCCTTCGCCGTCGGGCCCCAGGTCAGCACCACCTTTTGGGCCGCCGGCACCACGCTGTGCCTGCGCGAGAACAAGGAGGGCAGGGCCAGCACCCCGCCGCCGGCCTTCATCGCCACCACCCCCGCGCCGGCGGCCCCGCCGGCGTTGGGCGCCTGCGGCACGGCATCGCTCGTGACCGAGTCGACGACGGTGACGTCCGTCTACAGCATGACGACGTGCGCCGTGCCCGAGATGGAGTGCCCGCCGCGCTTCAACCAGGTCGTGGTCGTGACAAACGTCGAGGCCGTGCAGACGATCCGCTGCCCCAACGTCGGCGGCCGCACCAACTCGTCCTCGTCGGGGGCGGCGGCCTCGGCGCCGAGGCCGACGGTGGCGCCGGTGCCGCCCACGGGCACGCCGCTGGTGCTGACGCCCATCCTGAGCCCGCTGCCCGTAACGGTGCCGTCGTACGCAAACATTACGGTTAACTCTACGGGGCCCGTGACGGGCTCGTTCGTTGCCGTCACCCCGCCGCCCGCGAGCCTGCCGACGAGCGGCATACCCCCGGTCGACAACCGGGAAAGGCCAAACAGCGGGGGGTCGCCGTCGTCGGCCGCCGGGGTGGCTGTCTGGGCCGCGACTGGACTTTTTGGTGTGGCCCTGGTGGCTGTTCTTTTATAAGCAACCATTTAGCAAGGATTGTTTTTTTCTTCTGGATGTATTTATTCATAACGGCTTAGATACCCTGGTTTTAATTCATTTCCCCCATGCCAGCCGCGTACACAACAACAACAAGCTACTCCAGCACGGCCTCGTCCATGTTGCGGATAAAGGAGCTGTACCACTTGATGCCGTTCACGTGGGCGGCGATGCTGACGCGCTCGTTGACGGTGTGGATGCCGTTGTCAAAGTCGCTGGCGGCGCCGTCCTCCCACTGGGGCCCGTAGCGGAAGATGTGGCGGGTCAGGTCCCAGTAGTAGCGCGTGTCGGTGTTGCCCGTCATGAGCGCGGGCGCCACCAGCAGGCGCTCGCCGTAGACGCCGCGCGTGGTGCCGGCGAGCACGCCGTACGGCGTCGTGCCCCCCTCGGTCGACGTCGGCGTCACGGGCGCCGGCTCCAGCGGGGCGCTGCGGACGCGCAGCGTGACGGACGAGGGCGGCTCGTCGTCGTCGTCGTCCTCGCCGTCGAAGCTTGGCACCTTCTCAAACGGGTGCAAGGTTAGGTTGTGCCTGGCAGCAACGGCGCCGGCGGCCTGCGCGAGCTTGGCGCGCACGTCGGCAAAGGACTCGCCGACGTTGATGCGGTGGTTGACGGTCAGGACCACGCGCTCGGGCAGGGCGTTGCTCTTGATGCCGCCGCGCGCGATGGTGGGCGTGGCCGAGGTGGCGAAGAGGTAGCGGACCATGTCGCCCGCCCGGGCCGCCTCCTCGGCCAGCTCGTCCTTTTCGTCGTCCTTGTTGCTGCCACTCCCGTCGTCGCGCTCCCTGAGCAGCCTGCGCAGGCCGTCGGGAAAGGCCGGGGCGTGCTCGTCGCCGCAGCGCAGCACGTCGAGGAAGGGGTTCCCGGCGTGCAGGCGGGGCGGGTAGGGGTCGCCCTCGACGGCGGCGACGACCTGGGCGGCGACGCCGATGGCGTTGTGGCGCGGCGGGATGCTCGAGTGGCCGCCCGGCATGCGCACCACCACCTCGACGTCGACGGCGCCCTTCTCGGCCACGCCCGGCGCGGCAAAGGTGGCGCCCCACTGGTTGAGGATGGCGGCGCCCTCGTCCACGACGACGGCGGCCGAGTCTGGTCCGTAGCGCGACAAGAGCGCCCGCGAGAGGTGGCCGGCGCCCCGGGCGCCCGAGATCTCCTCGTCGAAGCCAAAGGACAGCACGAGGGTGCGGCGTGGGCGGAAGCCGGCGGCGGCCAGGGCCTCGACGGCGGCCAGGATGCCGACGAGGTTGTTCTTGCAGTCGGAGGCGCCGCGGCCCCAGACGCGGGCGCCGTCGTAGAGGCCGGAGAACGGGGGGTGCGTCCACTGGTCCAGCGTCTCGTCGGCCACGGGCACCACGTCCTGGTGGGCCATGAGCACGGTCGGGCCCAGGGAGGCGTCGGACCCGGCCCAGGTGTAGAGCAGGCCGTGCTCGTTGACCAGCTCGCGGCGCAGCGCGGCGTGGGCCAGCGGGAAGGTGGCGGCGAGGTAGTCGCGCAGCGGCACGAGGGCCAGCCAGCGCGGGTCCTCGCCCACGGCGCCCATGTCGTCGTGCGAGACGGTGGGGATGCGCACGGCGCCCGAGAGGCGGGCGGCGCTGAGGTCGCGGAACTCGGGAGTGGAGAAGAGCGCGTCCATGTCGCGCAGCCGCGGCGACGTGGCGTTGGGGAGCAGCGGCTCGACCTGGGCGCACTTTGGCGCGCGGAACGCCGGGCTTGCGGCGCCGCTTGGGCCGGAGGGCAGGGCGGTCAGCGGCCGGCCCCAGGGCAGCAGGCCCGGGGCGAAGACGGCGATGGCGCCGAGCAGGGCCATGGGCAGCAGGGCGCGGCGGGCCCAGTGCCGGGGCGGCGGCGGGGAGCCGGGCTTTTCGTGCTCTTTCCAAGAGGTCATCAGGGGTGTGGTTTCGGCCATGGTAGCGGGTGTTGTGGGAAGATTGTCTGCCGCTCCGACGGACTGTCGCTGAGGATTGTCCCCGAGTAATAAGGCTTCCTTATCTGCGGGTTTCGGCTTCTTCGGATGCTGTCAAGGCGGCGAGTTGCCGATCCGTCACGTGCAGCACATGATGCTGCGCCAGCCCGTGCGGGCTTGCATTGGCTGCCAGCTGTTTTGTCCGACGAGCCATTGGGCATTGTGACAATGTTGGACGAATTCTCCTACTGTTTGGCCGTCGACAGGCAGCGTGTTTATCTGGCATCCTGAAAATGCGACCAAGGCCTTAATGGTAAATACTTGGCTAAGCCCGGAAACAACGAGGAACTGAGTCAATTGGTGCAAAACTCTGCCTCCTGGAAAGTCTATCTTGACGAGAAATGTAGGCGACGCGGCCCGTCGTTTGCCCTCCAAGAGGCTCAACATCAAATGCTAGGCCATGCAAGGCGGGCCCTTGGTCTGCGCCTGATTCAAGCCTCGCTCGTGGTCTTGGAGACTAACAGGCCAACATGGGTGGTGTGGCGCCACAATGTCTCGATGCTCGTCCCGCGCTGCCGCCGCCGTCGTCGTGGGGGGACATGATGAGCCTCTGATGATTGGCGGCAATCCCCAATCTGCTGACCCGAACCTGGTTTCATCCCCAGTCCCAAATGGGATGCCACCCATGCTCCCAGGCCCAGAGTCTTGGACCGCCCGCGCCAGGGGACGTCGGCTGGCGCAGCCGCCTCGCCCCGGACCAACAGCCTCCGCGTTCCCCCAAGAGCCTCGCCCCGGAGCCTGCAGCGTCGACTAAACTCGGAAGGTGTCGCCGACTGGCCGCCGCCGTCAGCCCAGAGCCGAATTGGTGCCTAGCCCCGGCTAGGGGAGCCAAACCATTTGTGTCGGTTCAACTGCGCGTGACGATGTGATCGAGCCACACCGGGCGAGTTTGCTGCCGTGCTAGGCGCGCCTTGTCCACTTTACGGCATTTCTCTCGTCTCGCTTCCGTGCCGGGGCGTCGCATTTGTAGGGCAGGACGGACAAGGGCTGAGTTAGGAGGCATGCTAGATGTCGATATATGAACCGCCATTCCGCCCTTCCCCTTCCTGAAGCCGGGCCATCCCTCACTCCTCAACCTGCCAGACATAGCTAGCAGCCTATACCTCTCGCCTACAGGACCACCCCTCCCCCCCCCGCCGCCATGAAGACTGCCTTCCTCTCCCTCGCCGCCGCCGGGCTGGCGAGCGCCCACACCATCTTCACGTCGCTCGAGGTCGGCGGCGTCAGCTCGGGCACGGGGCAGGGCGTGCGGGTGCCCAGCTACAACGGCCCCATCACCGACGTCACGTCAAGTAGCATGGCCTGCAACGGCAACCCCAACCCGACCTCGCCCACCTCCAAGGTCATCACGGTCCAGGCCGGCCAGGACGTGACGGCCATCTGGCGCTACATGCTCAGCACCACGGGCACCTCGCCCAACGAGTGAGTCGTTATCTGTCTCGTTAGCGACTGTTCTCTCCCTCCGCTGACAACGGACAAAAAAAAAAAGCATCATGGACTCGTCCCACAAGGGCCCCACCATGGCCTACCTCAAAAAGGTCAACGACGCCACCACCGACTCGGGCGTTGGCGGCGGCTGGTTCAAGATCCAGGAGGACGGCCTGCCCTCGGGCGGCCAGGGCCTGTGGGGCACCGAGAAGGTGATCCAGGGCCAGGGAAAGCACCGCATCCGCATCCCGCAGTGCATCGCTTCCGGGCAGTACCTGCTCCGCGCCGAGATGCTGGCCCTGCACGGCGCCAGCGGCCCCGGCGGCGCCCAGTTCTACATGGAGTGCGCCCAGATCAACGTCGTCGGCGGCACCGGCACCAAGACGCCATCGACCGTCAGCTTCCCGGGCGCGTACAAGGTGGGTTTTTTTTGTTCTCTTGGTCTGGCCATGTGGACGGCAGCTGACTCTTTGCTTCCTACTCAGGCCAACGACCCCGGCGTCACACTCAGCATCTACTGGCCCGTCGTCACCTCCTACAAGATCCCCGGCCCTGCCGTCTTCACCTGCTAGATTGCCCCATAACACCGTTGCGCGACTTTGCACTGCTGCAGCGATAGGCTGGACTGTCTTTGGGGTGCTGTTGTCTGTTCTGGCGAGAGATTCATGGCTTCTGGTCGGCTGGCAGCCGCTGTTGGCTTGATGTACATATGTCCCATGCATATATGGCGTTATTTTCCGTCATCATAAACTCCACATGCGAAACTTCAAACACCGGCCCTTGAAACCTCGTTCATCTCGCCCGGGGGTCGTCACTGTACTCGGGATATGACGACTTGTACCTGTCCTCCAAGGTCTGGTCAGCAAGGAGGGAGGCTGGCGGGGGACAAGAGGCCAACGTTACCCCAAAATACGCCCGCCTATCCAGTAGCCCACGACGTGGTGGAACGCGACCAGCATCCAGATCGGCAGCCAGAACGGGGGCGTGAAGACGGTCCCGTGGTCAATGTTCATCAACAAGAGCTGCGGAAAGGACGGGACAAGGCCCTCGCGGCCGCAGTCGGCAATGTAGCCGAGGGAGTTTTTGAGGTAGCGCTCGTCAAAGATGTTGTCGACGTCCTGCGGGTCCGTATCGAACCGGAAGACCAGATCCTCCTGGCTGTCGGGGTGCACCCAGAACCGATGGCTGTTTTTTTTTTTTGGGGGGTGGGCGGTGATGATATTAGCAGACGGATTGGAAAGTTCGGGCCTCCTCCTCCCTGTGTCCAACCACTCACCGAGCACCGCGGGGGACGGTGACCCGCCCGGACTCGCGTGTGAGCCTGTGCTGCGTCCCGTTGATGTCGACGGCCATGACACCCTGCATGACCTCGAAATACTCGACCTGCTTGATGTGGATGTGTCTGGACCGTGGTCAGCGCGCCGTCGTCGCCCGATCGCTTCTGCTGCTGCTGCTGCTGCTGCTGCTGCTGCTGCTGCTGCTGCTGCTGCTGCTGCTGCTGCTGCTGCTGCTGCTGCTGCCTGACGACTCACAGCGGCGGGCCCGATTTCCCGTCCCTCGCCAGCTTGTTGCCGACGTAGTGCGTCTCCACGACGTGCCAGCGCCCCGTGTCGGCGTCGTTGAAGGACTGGATCAGGGCGGAGCCGTGCACCGCCGTGAACTCGGCCTCGGCGGCAATGTTTGAGCGCCGCGACGGCCGCGGGGAGAGCCATGCCTGCCAGCGTTTTGTCATGTCGAGGACGCGAAGAGTTTTTGAGGGGTCGGTTTTCGAAACGAGCCAAATTTCGATGAGGAAGTGTTGCACAAAAGACTGAAGCGTTCCATGGTCTGTTCCAGCTCAGATTAATATAATTAACATGCATGCCCTTCAACCATCTCTACCCTCGGCCTCGCGCACTCGCGCTTACACGGACAAGGCGGCTGGCGGTGCGGCATGGCGAGATGTCCCCCTCGCCGTCCACAATAAGCGCGAGCTGAGTAAGCTCTGCGCAGCTTCTCGGCAGGTCTGAGAGGAAACAGCCAATTAGCACGCGGGACGGGCTTTGGAAAAAGGGTCAGCTGCGTCCAAACGCCGCGGGGTAAAAACGCTTGTAAGCTTTGGAAATTCGTCCCTTTGCGCTGGCTGAGGGTTATTTAGGTCGTCGTCAGCCACATTTGCCGCAGTAAAATCTCGTGACAGCCTCATGCAAAAAATGCCCCCACACGGGATCGAACCGTGGACCTTATCATGTAACGGCTGGTACGAGTGATACGCTCTACCACTGAGCTATACGGGCTGGATCATCAGGCGTGGCTGGACGCCGGATGTGGCAGGGGGGCGTTGAGGCGGCGGCATATATCGGCTGGGCCGGTGCGGTATTTTCGAGCAGAGTCTGTGACGCCGTGTTCCCACAGTTGTGGACTACAGCTGGTGGAACCGTTAATATGGTGCGGGGAAACTCCACTCGAAGGAAGAGTAGATTGCAGGTCTTCAAACAAATGGCATGCCTTAAATATCATAGCATGGCGCACAGCGTGCAGCTGTGGTGGGGTATCTACATGGATGGCGACGCGCTGATGATGCGAGGACAAAACTACCAGATATCTCTGGGTGCAGGCTCTGACAATGCTCAAGGACAAGGCAGTTCTGGGGCGTCGTCAGTCCCAGAGCCAAGACACGGCCAGAATCCAGCCCTCGGCCACCTTCTCGACCGGCTCGGGGTTCTGCTCCACGTGCTGGAAGGCTTCTTCGAGGGGGATGTCTGCAAGAGGGGTGATGGTTGTCTTTTTTGCAAACTTCCAGGCCAGGTAGCCGCAGAGCACGAGCGGAATGTCTCTGTTTTTTTGGTGCGGATGTGTTAGAATGGAAAGGACGATACAGTGACAGGTTGTGTGGGTGGTACTTACAGGTAGTGTGACACAAACTGCTGAGCATCCCATCTCCCATCGACAAAAACCTCGTAGCCGCCCGTCAGGAGGATGATGATGCACATGGCCAAGGCCGCCGGGGAGCTGTAGACGGTCCACGCATTATGCCAGGGCAGCCTGCTCGGCGACATGCCCTGTACCTTGATGGCGCGCATGAGGCGGATGTGGTTGAGCAGGATGGAGGACCACGAGATGAGCACGCCGGCCGAGGTGAGGGCGACGAACCAGTAAAACACGGTCAGGGCGCCGTTGGACAGGCTCAAGAAGCTGAGCAGCATGAAGGCGGCGAAGAAGAGGACGCAGACGTAGGGGGTGCCCCACGAGGTGGTGCGCAGGAAGACGGCGGGGGCCTGGCCCTTGAGGGCGAGGCCGAAGAGCACGCGGGTGCCGGCGAGCAGGCTCTGGTTGGAGGCGGACCAGGCCGAGGTGATGACGACGGCGTTGACGACGGTCGGGATGGCACGCACGCCGGCGGCCGACGCGGCGATGACAAAGGGGCTCTGGGCGGCGGTGCCGCTGCCGTTGCTGAGGCGCGGGTCGTCGCTGCGCACGAGCATGCCGACGACGAGGACGGCGAGCAGGTAGAAGAAGACGACGCGGGCGAAGACGCGCTTGCAGGCGCGCGGGATGGCCCGGCGCGGGTTGCGCGTCTCGGCCGCCGCCATGGCGAGCGACTCGACCCCCGCGAAGGAGAAGACGGCGCCCGTCATGACGCTCCAGTAGCCCAGGAACTTTGCCCAGTCGCCGGCGCCGATGTGCTCGACAAAGGGGCCCGGGTCCTGCCAGTAGGCGAAGCCGATGCGGGGCGTGCCGGGGATGCCGCCCAGGTTGATGACGAGGCCAAGCACGATCAGAAAGACGACGAGCATGATCTTCAGGAGGGCAAAGACGAACTCGACCTCGCCAAAGACGTCGACGAGCGACATGCCGACGGCAACGGTCAGCACTATAAAAATGACGATAAAGACGGCCTGGTTGCTGAATATCGGGTGCTCGTCGGCCCAGAACTGGAACAGCACGCAGATGGCGGTGATCTCGCTCGGGATGGACAGCACGTTGCCGTAGACGAGGTTCCAGCCGATAGCAAAGCCCCAGGCCGGGTCGACGAGGAACTCGGCGTGGCGCACAAAGGAGCCCGTGACGGGCAGCAGGGCCGATACCTCGCCGAGGGCGAACTGGACGCAGCACACGACGAGCCCGACGGTGGCGTAGGCGAGCAGGGTGCCGAGCGGGCCGGCGTTCTGGATGGCGCTGCCCAGGGACAGGAACAGGCCCGTGCCGATGGCGCCGGCGATGCCCAGCATGGACAGGTGGCGCTGCGCGAGCCCGCGCTTGAGGTCGCGGTCCTCGATGGCCGTCACCAGGTCGCCGTTGTCCCGGGCCGTCGGCGGCGGGCGGCGCGACAGGCCGTCCTGCGAGGCCGACGGACCTGACAGGACGGCCTCGGGGTCATCGTCCCGGTCGTAGGGCGCGTGCGACGACGACAGCCAGCCGTGCTTCATGGTGAAGCCGATGCCGGGCGACTTGCCGCCGGGGAAGGGGAAGGGGTCGGCATCGCCGCTGGCGGGAGGGCCCTGGCCGCTGCCCGAGTTGTTGGCGGCCATTGTCTGTGCTGCCTTGAACTATCGTCGACAGCAGGGCTTTTGGGCTGAGCACGGCTCTAGCGTGCGTCGGTCGTGGATTTAGCCCTGGATGCCACCTGCGGGACGGTCCGTTGGCATTGAGACACACCAACGCGAACTGCTGTAGTCGATTGGACGGCAAAAAAAAAGGACAAGAAAAACAACAAAAACACACGTCAAAGATAAAGGACCTCCGACAAACGGACTCCGCGGCCGCGGGTTCCGCTCCAGCCAAGGCTGGTGCCCCGGCCGCTCGCCGAGTCGCGCTACAGAATTTGCGACTTGTTATCGCCATGGCGGGCCTCAATAACACCATCCGCGCGCACGAGCCGCCAGAAATATGGTCCCACTCATTCCCGCGTGGGGACAGGAGATGTCCCACTACGACAAGCCTGGGCTGGGCACCCTTCCGTGCTCCCACGCTGTTTCTTCAGGGCTCTCCAGCGGGAAGCTCTGCGCACTGATGATGGCTTGGCAAGTTCTGCCGACGCGTCCGCTGTTTTGATCGACTTGAGCTGTTCCCCATCCTGCAATTCGAGCTCGAGGAGGAACCCGAGATCCCCCAACGCCTTCATCTCCCCCTTTTGCACCGTGGCCCGCAGCCCGCAGTTGCCTATTCTGGCCGTGGTCTTGCCGTAAAGCTTCGGCCCGAGGACCTCGAGCTTTGCGGCGAGGTTTTGCAGCGAGTTGGGGCCGGAATCGGCATGGTCTTTCGAAAGCGTCATGATGTGGGCCTCGCGCTCGCTGTGCCCCTTCAGCGCCGAGTGGGCTTTCAGGACCACCACAAAGTCGGCTTTGGAGCGCCGAGGTGGACGGACTCTGAGGATGACGATGTCTAGGCCGCGAGCCGGAACAACCATGGCCCGCGTCTTGGCCCAGCACTCCCTGGGGTGGACGTCGACCAGCTGCAGGCCGAACGGGATTTCGGCAACGTCGATGCAGCTGCTCAGGTCCAAGGATGGGGCTGATGGGGATGGGCGATCTATCCTTACCCGAATCGTCCTCGGGCTGTCAACAGACTCGTTTCTAGGGTCTATTATGGCCACTCCCGCCCCTCGTGGTCGAACAAACGTGTCGCTGGAGTCGGTTCGTTCGAGGGGAATCGCCAGCAGGCAGTCTTCGTCGTTCTCGAGCGCACAGTCCAGGAGCGCATACATTGCGGTCCCACCCCGCTCCAAGACCGAAACCGTCATTTGCAGCGTGTTTACCACCTTTTCGAACCTCCTTGGCTTCAGCTTGCTGGTCACTACGACGTGCTCGCTCCCGGCAAACTGCGTAGGTGAGGTGGCCAGTATGCCGCCGGGGATGCTGGCGGGATCGGGCCCAAGCCCCCACGCGAGGATCGTGTCGTCCGAAGTCAATAAGGTGATGTGCTCCTGCAGACGGAGGAAGGCCTTCTCGGCGCCCTCCCCGTAGAGCATCGGCATCGAGACGCCAAAGAGTCCCAGCAGACAGTACGCCATGTCCTCCTCGCGTGTCGTGACGCGCTTCGCGGCCCACGACATGCGCTGGGCCGCGCTGGCCTGGCTTGGCTGCGCTCTACCGAGGAGGAAGCTCTTGGTGATGCCCGTCGCGCTTTGGATCACGGACGACAAATCCGTCCTCGTGCCGATGAAGCGCCAATCCGCATCAAAGAAGCTCACTCTGGACGGAGCTATAAGTTCCTGGAGGGTCCAGCCTCTGGAGAACCAGACGCTTCGCCTGAGCTGCGTCTCGACGTCGTCTGTGACTTGCCCATGGCCATCACCAAGCTGGCGGACGTCGGATATATAAGCATAGCACCGGTAGGCGCTCTGGTACCACTGGTACATGCAGTTTATGGACTCCGAAAGCTCGGCAGAGTTCGCCTTGTCGATGCAGCATGTATCGATCCACATGTACGCCAGTCCGTCCTTCTTGGCTTGGGCCCGGAAGCCTTCGATTTTGTGACCCCACCTCCTGCGGCGGCGGTAGAACCGCTTATGAGTAACATCCTCATAGGTGAGCTCCTTCTCGGCCCATCGGTGTGACAGGATTGCGTAAGGTGGAATGTTGCTGATAAAGCTCTCCATCTTGCGTGTTTTGACATTCAGCAGACGCATTTTAACCCCCCGCGGATGTGCTGGAGAACCGACATTTGTCAACCTTGCGCGTATAAAAGGTGAAGCCAAACGGCTAGAGCTCTGGTTCAGTGGGCTTTTGCCTGCTTGTGTAAAGGTCGAACCGCGAACGCGCCCGAATCCCCCCGGCGAAGCAAAGTAGAAAGCTATTCCCGGCCATGCTGGGCAACGTGGCCGTGCTGCATGCCCCGCTCAGCGGTGGCCATGCTGAACGGCTAACCCCCATTGAGAAAGCGGAAAGCTGCATTGTCAGTGCCGTGGGTCTTTATTTCCCTGGTTGGATGTGTGCTGATAAACTGCTTCCGCGTAAAGAACTGGCCTCACATTAAAGTACACTCACTTTCTTGGTCCTACCTCTGTTCCTAACCCAATTGTTATCTCTGTTCCTGAAAAGGACTGTCCCGGCGTAGCAACAATTCTGATCCGTAAAAGGCCTGTAAGCGGCAGGGACAAATCTTAGTGTCGAACTCAATCGCGGCCGCATCCCAGCATGGCAGCTATAAGACCCGCAAAACCGACCGGCGACGTCCAAAAACAGCATCGGGGCCGCAAAGGCCTCCACCCCAACCACAAGATTGAAGACACGGAGCCATCGACGGCGGCAATTGCCCCGTCTGGGGGCGACAGGTCGAAGAGCGGTATCTGCGCAGGGGCCGAGCTGCGACGGGCGGCAGCGGCGGGTAGGAGATTAATTGATGTGATGGGTCGGGCAGATTGCCAAACCCCCGATGCGGCCCAGGGTGAGACCAGGCCAGACCCCAGGCGTTTGGGATAGCCGGCTGGGAAGGGAACCCCAGCTATTGCTTGCTGTCAGGTCGTCCAATGTCGTGCCCATGTGCCAATCTCGACGATCAACTATCCCTTTTTTCGGCGCTTGGGCTTGCGTTTCGTTTTGGGATCGTCCCGTCCAACAGCATGGCATCGTCCCGGCTGGGCGGCTAACCCAAAACCAAGCTTGATCTGATACTGTGAATGGCCCGGCCAAGCGTTTCCTTGTCTCTTCTCTCGACACTGCCGTTTGGTTTGAAGCCCAGTCAGCTCTGGCTCACCTTTTTGTTAGAGACTTGTAGGTACATGAACTGCCTGGCGAGATTGGTCCTCATGAGGGCTGTATTGGCCTCCACCTGCCATCCGTTGGACGACGAGCCGCGGGTTCCCACCACAAGGCCTGGCTTAAATGAAACCTGCCACATCCGGAAGGCTGCCAGATCCGACGCACAGCGTTTCCTGGAACCGGCCCAAAATGCGATCGCGAAAAGTCTCATCCAAAAAGAGTGTGGTGGCGAAATCGGCAGCGCAATGCAACTTCTCCCCTCCGTCGCCCCCTACCCCCCTGGGCGGGGAGTCATGCCCCAAAAGGGTCGCGATATAAATAGGGTGTGCCCATCGCCACACCTCAGGACAGACCGAGGTTGAGGTCAGCGCATCAACCCACCGTCCCATCCATCCCCTCTTCTCTTCTCCCCGGCCGGCAGGACCTGCGCCAAGCTAGCTTCTTCTTTGTAACTTTGCACCTTGCATCACTTGCACCCACATCGGCAGGCACCGAGCCAACCACGCTCACTATACCACCACCATATAAAAACCCCGCCCACGATGCAACTCATATCCGCCGTCCTCCTCCTCGCCGCCTCGGCACTGGTCAGCGCCGCGCCCCAAGGCCGCGCCCCCGCAAAAGACGCAGCCGGGACGCCTCCAGGAGTGGTCCCGGGGTTCGTGCCGGGCCAGGTCCCAGGCGGCGCGGTGCAGGGGGGCGCGCCCTCTGCGCCCGCCCGCGGCCGACCCAACCGCAACAACGGCCGGCCCAACAACCAAACCCCACCACCACCACCCAACGCAACCCCGAACCCGAACCCGAGCTCGCCCCCGGCAGCCGGCCGGCCCACTGGCGGCGGCGGCGGCGGCTCCATCAGCGCGGACCTGGTGCCCTCCTTCGGGGTCGAGCGGGGCGTCAACCCCAACGCGCGGCAGCGCGGCAGCTGCGACGGCGCCAACGGCGTGCTCATCTCGTGCAGCTGCCCGCCCGACCGCGCCGCCTTCGTCGCCAAGCTGGGCCAGGCCGTGGCGCAGGGCAACGTCTTCGGCACCCCGATCAGCTTCGACACGGACCCGGCCAACCAGAGCCCCGCCGCGAACAGGAACCGCGCCACCGCCATGCTCGTCGTCCTGCAGAGCCTCGACGGGACAAAGGGCGTCGGCTGCCCGGGCGCCGCCGCCCCAAACTTTGTGGCCCAGCAGAGGTCCGGCGTGCGCTCGCGGTAGCCAAGTGGCCGGGCGCCGCTGAGAGATGGCTTCCCCCGCTGGCATGACGCACCGCCGCCTCGGGTGCGGCGGTGCCTTTACATACACTGCCCTTTCCTTGTTGTTGTTTTTTTAGCATTATTCCCATTTTTCTTGTTATTACTTTAGATACCAAGCGCTTGCAAGATGAAGTGTTTTTATCCAGTCATGTTTTTGTTTATAACTATCATTTAGCCAAAGGGTTGAGCTGTGTACCCAGGCAAAACGACTAGAAATGCGAAAACTATCGTATACTTGAAGGAAACAAATACATATCCTATCACTATCCCAAGACACTAGCCGCTCCACCGCCAAACACCCGTGCCGGTGTCGTCAGACTAAGCCCCCGCTGCTTCTCAAACTCCTGGGCAATGATACCCAAACAAAAGTCGACCTCATTCTTGTCCATGGTTGACAGGCCGAGGATCAGAAGCGTCCGTTTGGTGAGATTACTACAGTCGGCAAGCCCGGGACCCCGGAAAATATAATCGTACACCAACTTGTCTCCCCGTGACATCGCCGCCTGGATCCCTGCCCACAGCTCCTCGGCGTGGGCGGCGACCCGGGCAACGTCGAAACCCGACCGTGGCCCGGCATCTGGCGTCGACGGGGGAATATCCTGCATAACTCTCCCCGACGCCGTCTTGAGCTGACCAATGACGGCGCCGCCATCCAGGTCGCTGACGCATGTATGTAGCCAATCAAGCTGCGGCCCGCCGCTGTTCTCCTCGAACTCGAAGACGGCCCTGTCAGGGTCCCAGCCGGAGCGTCGGAGGCTGGTCAGATAGGAGCCATACGCATCTGCCGGCGCTGTATCGGCTTCAGCTTCATCACAGCCTGTATCTGGCTGCTGCCCCTGTTGGCGGGCAAAGTCCGCCAAGACGAGATATTGGTAATCGAGAAGATCCCTGGCACTATCCAGACGTACGAGCTTTCGTAGACCGAGTTTCCACTCTTCAGGCAACTTGGGTCTGTCATCAAAGATCTTGGCCAAGTCGACATAGTACGGCACAGGCTCTTTGAGAAATCCAGCATCGAGGAGATGGGCGTGGAGCGACAGGAGAGCTGTCGGCGTTCCGAGAGTGTCGCAGATGCGGAAAGCGGCCTGGCGGAGGAGCTGGACGGCCTCCATCAAGGCCGTACCGCCAAGCGCTGGAGACAGATTCCAGAGTGTTGCATCGCCCGGGCGAGGTGGGCCGCCCAGGAGCGGCCCCAAACGGCCAACAAGCCCATCCAGCCTGCCGCGCAGGATGTTGCTGTTGCTGCAACCACGGCCAGTGACCTCGAGCGTCTGGGAGAGTTCAGCAAGCGATTCAAGCGGTCCACGTGGTTCCCCGGACACGCTGTGATCAAGCGCCTTGACGATGACACGCCCGCAGTCCAGCTCCTCGGCCGCTTTCCCGAACCTGTGGCCCGATACCGGGTCGATGAACCAGCCGCGGCGCACCGTCCACGAGTCCACCACACACTGGAGCTGGAAGACCAGGCTTGGCTTGATGCATTTGGGCACGTCAGCATCGCGCTTTTGTCGGACAAGCTGCGCGACCTGGGTTGCCAGGCGAGAGAGGCCGAAGGAATGCTGGTCCCGGACCGAGAAGGACGAGAACAGATCGAGAAGTTGGTAGAGGAGCTTGATTGTGTAAAGCCGGCGCCATGAGAGCCTCGCCTCGGGCGTGGCCTTCTCCAGGTCCATGCCCGGATCCCAGGCCCTGAGCTGGGCAGCCATCCGCTTGGTGGGCTTTCCCGTCTTGTTCTCTCGATAGTTCCTGGCAAATTCGACGAGGCTCCAGTACGTGTGCAGTTGGAGCTGCTCATATATGCCGACCAGTGGCCCGGAATCCGTGGGCGCGCCAATGGTCCCCGAGAGCTCCTCGAAATCATCGGGCGCTTCTGTGCTGTCCGTGAGTCTTCTGCCTGTGGCGATGCGGACCATGCCGAGAAATGACATTTGACCGAGGAACTCGTCGCTGTGATCGATCAACTCGTTGTTCCGGATTATTGTGGTGGCGACGTGGAGGAGCGCGCCTGCGGCATGGCTGGGGAATTGGCAACACGCCACCCTCTGCCAAACCAACTGGATGACGTCGTGGAGGGCAACCGATTTGCGCACAAATTTGAGAGCGGCTTCGCGGGTGCGGAGCGACTGCTTGTCCACCAGAGCGTTGAGGACCTCCAGGGGTGTCGAGGAGGTGGCGAGGGCGAGGGCGGCTCGTTGCGCGGGCGCGGGCGCGGGCGCGCGCTTCAGCTTCGCCCTTTGACCCCGAAGGGTCGATTTGGCTGCTGCTGGGGCCTGCTCGGCACATGGCTCAACATCCAACGAGGCAAAGGGGTTCTGCGGGCGTGTTGTCGTCTTGTCGCGGGCTGTCCTTGGCTCAAAGGCTAGTTTCATACGCTGCCTGTTGTCGAGCAATTTGTCGCCGCCGAGGATGGTAAAGGCCGCTTCAAGACATGTGATGTAGAAGAAGTGGCCCTCGTCGGCGTCTTCGGCCATGAGCCTGGCGACCTGCCTCCTGACATCTATTTCGCAGTACATGTGGTACAGAACGGAATCGGGGATGGAGCCGATCAGGTGCGGGTTCCGGGCGACCAGAATTGCCATCTCGGACAGGTCGCGGGGCCGGTCGAGGCTGTCGGTGGGATTGTACGAAAGAGAGAGGCCAGATGCAGCGACGGCCCTACTGTCGCGGAGGATGATGCGGTTGGACGCCCCGATCAGCCATGTTAGCACGGCATTGGCGTGGCTGTGGTAGTCAACGACAAGCTCGCGTAGATCCATGGCGGGTGACCTGGTTGCAATGGCCAGGGGCAGTGAGCAGAGGACTGAGAGAATGACGGAAGCTTTCTCGTACGTCTCTCAGCCTGGACAGTCGAGCATTTTGTAGTGGTGCTCCGCAGCACCGCAGATCTTGCTTTTCAGGGCAATCTCCTTCAGATACTGCGGCTGGGAAGGCTGCCCTTCCCTCTCGTTGCAAACGAATAGCGGTAGCTGGGGCCAGCAGACCGGCCGGGGTGCTGAGCACCTTGCTTTTCGTGCTGCATGACGGATTGGTGTGGTGTCCAATGTGATACTGGCATGTTGGGAGGAGGGGTTGCAGGCCTGGCTGCGCTTGCAGCTCTGGTGTGGGTGGCTTGCCGGGTTGAAGGTAGCATGAACCAAAGACACGGACGCAGAAGATTGGCGGGTAGTGCAAAAGCCGGCCAGTGACAACAGCCAGCGGCCTGGGTTGGCAGAGTGCCGGGCGTGAAGCTGGTCTGGGAGAATGTGAGCAGTCACAGCAGCCGGCTGGCACGAGCACATGTGCAGTACCCGGCTGTGTCGACCTCGTTTACTTTGCAGTGTTTGCTTTTCCCATCAGCAGAGCAATCCCACGCCGACGGTGACTAGAAGTGGGGGGTGTCGGAGGCGGGCGTGGACATCTATCTAGACCACACAACTGTGAGGTGTCGTCACTTCTCGCGTGCCCCCGCGTGGTCGCGCGCGCTGGCGGTGGCAGCGGCGTTGACCAGACCGCAGGTGGAAAGGTGGAAAGGGGAGAGGCAGTAGTGAGCCCGTTGAACTAGCGCTGAACCTGGTGGCAAATCTCATCGGGCTGGGCGGTGTGGTGGTACGCGAGCTATTGATGTTGTTCTAGGCCTCAATCAATCCCAGGGTGCTCCATGTTGAGGAAGATGCATCAAATGGGCGGCCAATTCGAGATGAGTGCAGCACGCCTAGCAGCCAGAAGCAAACGCCTACAGGCTTCAAGCCAAAAGGTACCTCGCCTGCTTATGAATCGAAGTACAGTCCAAATGTGGAGCAGGCCACCTGCCCCGCTTGCCTGGCACCCTGGGCCGCTGCAGCCCGCAGGCTTGTGGGCCCAGAGTGGCCGTTTCTGGCGGGAGCATCCCCCACGCCGGCCCAAGGGATGCACCACAGAGCATGAGCAACCGCCATCAGCAAGCAGGTGCAGGCGCGATATCGGGGCCCCAGGATGGAGCTCGGACCTTCGGGCGTGGCAGGCAAGCGATGCCTGCGGGATGGCACAGAATCGCTCAAGCTTGTGAAAATCACCCAAAAACCTCGCACCACCTCCTCCTCCTTCCCAAACTTCTGTCCTCGTCTCCTCCCTCTTGTTGTCTGTCCTCCTCTCGTTCGTCTCGGTCCTCGGTTCGCATCCTCGTTGTGTTTCTGCTTGAATTTCCTTAGCGATTTTTCCACCAATTTCCCAGCCACAGTCCGCAGCTGCAAAGCCCAACCGATTGAATACATCAAGGGCGCGCGCAAAGCTGCACCCGCCCCAGCTACAAGGCCCAGACCAGCAGCGCAGCGCGCCTAGGAAAAAAAATAAAAAAAATCAACAAAGAAAACCGCAAAAATGTTCGCGACCAAGGTCCTCCGCCAGGCTGCCGCCCACGCCGAGCGCCAGCCATTGATCAGGTTCATTGGAAAGCGCACCACTCCAGGTAAGATTCGCTCTTCCCCACCATTCCACAGTTTTATGTGCCTCCCGTCTGCGGGCCTTGGCGCCTTGGGCTTTGGGGTGCGTCGCACAATGCCGAAACCCCGAGCGCGACCCCGACGACCCGCGCCATTGTCGTCGCCCCCTCGCGGTGGCAGCGTATCCGCACCCCACGCACACAGCGCCCCTCCCCATCGTCTTGGGCCGTGGCCGACACTGAACTGACTTTTGTCCACCCCTACAGCCTCCATCGACCACACCCCGCAGCCGCACCCGGCGTCGCCCACCAACCAGACACCCGCCACCTTTGCCCAGAACACGTCGTCCTCCTTTAGCAAGTACCGTGAGCACGCTCAGCAGTTCGGTCCCCTGCGCAAGACCATCAAGACTGTTGAGGAGGCCGGTGTTGGCGGCCTATCGGGCAGCGAGCTGGGGCCCGTGCGCCCCAACCAGGCCGGGGTCTTCTTCGACCGCAGCGAGCTGCCGGCCCGCTTCCAGCGCCAGCCCCTGACCGCCGCTGAGATCGAGGCCATCGAGACTGGCGGCGCCGCCATGTTTGCCTGAGCGAAATTTGCAACTGGCGGGACCAAATGTGCCCGCCCGGCGTGCGTCACTTACACCGGTGTTTTCTCTGCACTTTTCTTCTTCCTTCTTTCTCTATCATTAATACCAAAAGGACGGCCCGAGCGACCGGGCACGAGAGAGGCGCACCAGGAGAGGCTCCGGGGAAACTCCCCTCCGCTTAAGAACTGTTCAGGTGCAAGTCGCGATGCGCACACAAGAGGTTGGCCGAGACAAAGCATGGATTTTACGTCCTGCCTGCTTCAATGGAGTGACGACACAGGCGGGAAGCGACGGAAAAGCATTATCGATCAGCAGCCGGCATCACCAACGACCGAATGGCACCAACAACACGAGGGAAGGGAAGCTAGCACCGAGCTGCGGCCACAATGCTCTCCTTAGCTGACATGAGAAGATCCGCGGGCGCCTGGCATGCAATGGCCCCATCACATCTGCCTCTCTCCGACAAGCCGGACCTGTCGCCAAGGTCCGGGCGGTCGTCCCGGAAGGCCGTTGGAGGAGTGCGAGAGTCTGCTCAAGTTGATCTTTTCTTAGTTGCATCTGGTTTCCGCACCAGCATTTCCTAGCTACTAGTAGGTTTGTTATTTGCATTGCTCGGACCGCATGTTTGGAGGCATGGCTTTGCATTTTGGCGGCGTGTCGGGGACGGGGACGGAAGCGAGGGGGAGGTGGCTGTCGGAAACCAATGTTGGGACAGTTGCCACGTACGATGAGGCGTCGAAAAGCGCCTTATTGTATGCAAACTGGCTGCATAGTACGTGTAAAGATACCTATTTTGAAACAATCAAACAGATGTCCGCTTCCCCCACTAGCTCCCTGCCGGCATCCCTGCATGCGCCGGGCATTGACCCTTGTTGAGGCCGATGATGTGGCCAACAGCACAGATGTTGAACTACGACTACCTAGCTCTAGCTCCGATCACTGGGCTGATGTCGGGTGAATTAGGAAGCGCTAGCTCGAGACACGGCTGCAAAAGAAAGGCTAGTAGTTAGGACGACGCTACCAGCGGCTAGGATCATGGTGAGAACAAGTGATATCAATGATGTGATTGGTACCAAAAAGACCACAAAAAGCAAACTGTGTTTGCCGAAACAGGCTGGACAAACGGGGAATCGAACCCCGGACCTCTTCCATGCTAAGGAAGCGTTATACCACTAAACCATTCGCCCTGTGGTGGATGCTGTCCCGGTCATACTGCAAGACTATAACGTGCTCCACTACCCCTCATGGACGGGCACCCCACTGCTCTACGGCAAACAGCCAGAATGCGACTCAACAAGAGTGGAAGGGGTGGAAGGAGTGGGAGATAAAGCAGCCAGAATAAAGCTTGGAGTTGTGTTAAACATCAAATTGCCAGCCGGTCTGCGGGCTTGGAAGCAGAATGGAAGTGACCGACAAGGAAGGCGTGGGCAGCCCGGTGTGTGTGGGGTGCGGGTGGTGATGAGCGCCAGGCCCCACCGAGGCTTCTAGCTGGCTTCAACTTGGATTTTTTTCTGCCGCCCAGCTTGCCAAGCTCAAGCTACCCTTCCATGTACCTCCCAGGCGCAAAACAGCCCAAGACTAGCCCACGACCAGATAAACCACACCCAACGTTCCATTACCGCCCTCCGATCAGCCTAACCGTGCGCCACAACCTTGGTCCGGGCCCGGCACGCCGCCATCACCGCACCCGCCCGCCCAACTAACAAACCCCTCTGCGATCCCCGCGCGCAACCCCCTCTCCCATGGCCGCCGGCGACGATACAGGCGCTGCGGCCGCGTGCCCCGTCGACCACCGCCCCCGCGACGCCTGCCCCGTAGACCACAGCAGCAGCAGTAGCAGCAGCAGCAACAACAATAAGCCACCAGAAGCATGCCCCGTCGACCACAAGTCGCGCGAGGTGTGGCTATCACAAGCCCGCGCGGCGGCGGCGGCAGCACCATCGCCAACAGCGAGACCACCACCCAGCAATGCCCCCGCCCCCGCCCCGTCCTGGAACCCCCTGACATGGCGAGTCCCCTTCCTCTCCACCAGCTCGCCGGCGCAAAGCGCCACCCGGCCGCCAACACCACCGCCACCACCGCCGTCCACCCGCAGCGGCCACCTCGACGAGGCCCGCGTCGTCTCCTCCATCCCGCGCGCCGTGCCCTCCTCCCCATCCCCATCCCCATCCCCAGCCGCCGCCGCCATCCCGTCCAACCACGAAAACGAAACGGGCGCCGACGCCGCGACGGGCAACTGGGTGTACCCGTCGGAAAAGATGTTCTTTGAGGCGCTGCGGCGCAAGGGCAGCGCGGGCGGGCCCGACGGCGCGCGCGCCGCCGACATGCGCACCGTGGTGCCCATCCACAACGCCGTCAACGAGCGCGCCTGGCGCGAGATCAAGGCCTGGGAGGCCCCCTACTGCGGCGGCGGCAGCGGCGTCGCAGCAGGCGCCGCGTGCCCCGGCGGGCCCCGCCTCGAGTCCTTCAGCGGCCTGGCCGCAAAGATGTCGCCCCGCGCCCGCATCAACACCTGGCTCGGCTACACGGCCCCGTTTGACCGCCACGACTGGGTCGTCGACCGCTGCGGCGTCAGGGTCGAGTACGTCATTGACTTTTACGCCGGCCGCCCAGGGGGGCCCGCCGGCGCCGCGGTACCGCAGAAGCTCAACTTCTACCTCGACGTCAGGCCAAAGCTCAACACGTGGGAGGGTGTCAAGATGAGGGCCTTGCGGGCGCTCGGCATCGTCTAGACTCGGGTGGGGCACAGCATGTACAATAACGAACCAGCTATCTGTAACAACAACATATCAACATGTGTTGGCGGCACGACCCAGGTGTCGTGCTTGACGCCACACATCTCCTACCGCTCCACGTGTGAATCTCTTGTATAACATACAGGGCGCTACACTGCGTTGTATCGTCTAATGTGTAGATTTCGCACGAAATCAGGCCCAAATAGTGAAGCGCCGTACCTCTTTGGCCTTCGACACCGTGCTAGAACATAGAACAAGGCTTTACCGGGGAAGCAACCACTAACAAACGAAAACGGACGAGCAAAAACGACTTAAAACGTCCATGTCAAACAAACAAGGCCCTTGTGCGATTCTACAAGTCGCCGAACCCCGTGCCGCATCGCGCATGGCGGCGTGGCAACTTTCGAAGCAACTGCCCCCCGACCAAATCACATCCTGAGGGGACACGTCCCACGAGAGAGGGAGGGCGAAAGAACATAAGAGGAGACGCGAGGAAAGAAGCTTCAATCATGCTTGACCTCCTGGGGTACTGAATGGTAAGGGCCAGAGGTCGACGTGCCATGGTAGTGTGGGAGAGGCTCCTTTTCCGAGGGCAGTACAACGGATGGCACTGGAATCAAAAAGGCAGACTTATCAGCAAATTGGTATCTCCTGTGCTTGTGCCGGAGCTTCTCTATGATCCGCTCCCGTTCTGTGTTCCGAGAAGCGGCAGTTGTGCCATGGGTCCCGTAACACCGGTTGCCAAAAAGGAAATGAGAGGGGACCACCAGATGGGAAAAGACACCACGAATGAAAAAAAAGGAAGATGTGGGAATCAAGAACCCAACCTAAAAAGGTGAGAGCGGATTGCCGGGGAATTACCAGGCGCGCGTTGGACAAGGGGAAAAGCTACATGCCCTTCTTGGAGTCGCCGGTGCGGACGCGGATGGGACTCCTAATCTCCAGCTGACCGTTCTCAACATCCCAGCCACAGGCCCGCAGCGCGGCAAGGACCGACTCCTTGGTCTCAGGGGTTACGTAGCCGGCTGGGCCCGCGTGTTCCGTGTGGCTTCCGAGGCCGTCCTTGAGGGCCGAATCGAAGTGGTAGGCGTGGGCGACGGCGTCGAACCAGGCGAGCAGCGGGCCATTAGCCCCGCCGCCACGGCTGCCCTCCTTCATCGCGATGCGCACCTGGAAGTTGGAGCGCCAGTGCCAAATTCCCATGTAGTACTCGTCCGACTCAAAGACGTAGCGGTCGTAGGCCCAGGGGTGGAAGTTCATAACGTCGCCGTAGCTGCCAAACTCGCAGTGGCCACGGTAATCGCCGCTCTTGCTGGTGAGCTTGCCGCGGCCGTTGCGCAGGATGCTCTCGCGGGCGGCCACCTGGCCGGGGGTCAGGACCTTGCCCGTCTCGAGGAACTCGCGGAACACAATGGTGGCGCGCTGACGGTTGAGCGTCAACATCTTGACGCAGCGGACGGCGCGATAGTTCATCATGAGGTGAATAGCGATCAGAACAATCATCCAACACCACACGGCCCGCTTGTCCTCAACCATGTGTACGACGGCCGTGCCCACGAGCATCCCGACGAGGCTGACAACCGTCTCCTGCGACGCCTCTTTGGCGTTGAGCTCGGCCAGGTTGCCCATCTTTGCAAAATGGGCCGACAGACTAGCCTTGCTGGCGCCGGCCGCGACGCCGCAGAGCGAGCGCAGGATGGCGGCCGAGACCATGACGGAAACCTTGGGCAGGAAGGGCAGGACGGGGACGAGGAGGTCCAGGAGCTGCGAGGCGTCATTGAAGAGGTCGGCCATGAAGCGGTACGTCTTGCACTCGGGCTCGATGGCGGTGCCCATGCGGTGGGCAAACAGAATGGTGGCCAAGCGGGAGAAGGTGTCCTGCAGGATCTGCAGGACGAGCGCGGCGGTGGGCGACTGCGAAGCATTGCCGACGCCGAGGCCCTCGAGGACTGCACGGTTGGCGAGCAGCGAGGCGATGGAGGAAGAGAAGGCCTGCAGCGAGTCGTAGGTCTGGTAGGCAAGGTAGTCGTCGGTGACGCTGTGCGGGAAGCCGGCGGGGAGGAAGGCGTAGAAGATGGCCTTGGCAAGCGGGACGTGTGTTTTCTCCTGTGAGGACGCGGGCTGCTGTCAGAGGGTGTTGGTGGGGAGGTAGGTCACGCGAGGGGAGTGGGAGCTTGCCGTCTTCAGACTGGAGTCGTCCTCGCCGACGGCGCCCGACTGGTCGTAGGTGCATAGCACATTGCCCGTCTGGTCGACGTCGTAGACCCTGCTGCTCATGACGGCGGTAGTTTCAAGACCGTGGAGAGAGAAGGAGGGCTACAAGTAGTGACAGGAGCGAGTTGATGCGCAGCTGTGGCATTTGGGATGGGGTTTCGAGGTTGACAGGCTACCTAGAGCACGCGGCGAACGCGGGCTCTGCGACAGAGGATATCGCGAAATGCGCAGGGCGGTGGGTGGGGAGGAGGGAGGGGGAGCACGGAAGGACAGGAACGAGCGGGTCGAGAAAAGCTGCAAGAAAAGAGTGCTGGGGCGGCATTGGATGAAGGGCAAACACAGAATTGTGTATACGAAAAGGACCAAATTCCCTATGACAACGTCGCACTTACCTCGCTGGCCTCAATTCGTTGCCGTCGGATGTTGGGTCGCGCCTGCTCTTCCTGAGATGCGTCACTGTGGAACGCGTCGGTGAATTGGGTTGGTGTCGAGTTGAGCTGGAGCGGCTTGGTGGGTGGAAACATTGACGTAACCTCAGTCCTGGCTGACTAACCAGACCCCGGGGGGGGGGGGGGGGGCGGGGGGACC